TCTTTCCCAAACACTTTGTCTTTCCTCCTTCCAGCAGCTGACACCAGAAACCCTTTTTAGGGTCAAACCTGTACATAAAAGAGAATAAATCACATCCACTATTACCAATTATCACCCCACCACCACATCCCAAAAAATAAAACTATGTAAACTGGTCTTTATATTATTTCTAAACTTGAAAGTTGAAAGAAAATTGTACTGTGAGCAAGTACAAGTGACTCACGCTAGGATCTTGTGATAATTGATGATATTGGCGAGGCCTAAAAACTTCTGGATTTTATCCATGACTGATGCGGGCTCAGTCTTCAGCATCTGTCCATCCAAAACTAACAGCTGGGTGAGACACAAACAGAACTAAATGTTACAGGGGAGGAAAAGCTGTGAAAGAAGATAATTTTACAAAATGAACTTGTTAAAAATGTTCCTTGTTCAAAAACACACTTTTTTTTTTTAAGTTTCTGAGAATGTCAAGTCATAGGACATCGCTGTTACAGCTGAGATTTTTTTTTTTGTGCACCTGACTTGACAGATTTGGTCAGTTTAGGGCAGTAAGTGCTTAGTTTTCTCTTGAGTGTCCCTGCAGGGCAGCTTCATCCCCTCATGGTCAAGTAGATTTAAGGAAAGGAAAAGAGTAAACAAGTCTGCTTTGCCCCAAACCTTGCTGGGACAAAATACCTGCCAGCCACCCTTAAGGCTTAATATACACAAGGAGGAAAGTTTTCACAGCCTGTCATGAGCTGAACTTGGTGTGCTTGACAATACTGCCATTGGCTCGCTCACCCAATATTGCCCACCACTATGTGTATGAGAACACCCATGGTACCTGACTGGCGTGGTAGTAGTTGAGCCAGCGCTCCAGGTGGATGGCGTACCAGCCTGGTACCAGACAGCGATTCTGGAGGACCCGCAGTTTGACTGGCGCATCGTGGCCTGCAGTTATGACATCGTGGAAGGTGTATTTCAACGCTACTGGGTCATCGTGCGCTCTTTGGTGCTGTGGATAGACAGACATGAGGAGTGAGTCGTTTAAGGAGGTAAAGTCTAAATTCAACTCCTAATTATGTAACAATGACTTTTAAATAAAAGTGCAACAGAGCAGTGTGAAATCTAACTTTTTTACAAGTTGACACACTTCACATCAGAGCCATTTTCACACATGACTTTTTCAATCCAGACTGTGCAGGGCGTACAGGAGGCGAGACATGACGCGGTCACATAACCAGTTTGTAGTTTGGTCATAAACAACCAAGTTGTTTGCGGTTCCTTAAATCTGTCTAACAAATCTGGATCTCATCCTCTTTGCAGTTAGCTATTTTCTGCGGTGTCTTCATCGTTTTTCTTCACCATTGGATGATTGTATTCTTCCAGTTTCGTGCCGGTCACATGATAGAACGTCATCAGCGCGCCCACTAGCTCCATGTGAATACTCTGAATCATATCCTGCTGTTTTCTCACACGGGCTCACTTCAGCTCACTCGGACATTACACAGATTTTGTATTAGGCAGCTGGCAGAGTAAAGTCCACTTAACATCTGGGCCAGCTTACTCGGATATACTGTGTGTGTTCTCACATACAGTTGCTCTTAAGTTCAGCACACATCTGAAAAGGGCTTAACTTATTCATCTAGTTTAGGGTTGCCCATGACAGACCTGGTACCAAGAGTAAGCTCTGTCTGCTGGATTGATGAGGATGGTGATGATCTTGGCTTTGGGCAGGAGAGCTGCAGCCCTCTGAGCAGCCACCTCTGAGTCAAAGTAGTTGGCACTCTTCTCAAAGTAGTAGTCTGAACTGGTATTGGAGGGCAGAGGAAAGTACTCCATATACCTAACGCACAACAAACACAAAACACAGTGTTACAAGAAGCCATAGTTGATCTGGTCCAATTTGCTCTCTGCAGATAAGGATAATTTCTATGTGTGGGTGATCAGCCATGTGCAACGGCTTGGCACCTTGTATACAAAAAACAAACAAACAAAAGAAAAAC